AAAAAATTGTGTAGATCACCGGAAATTTTTCGGAAAATAAACTTGCCCCTTGATTTTTAGGACATGTCACACGACTAATATATTAATATATATAATCGGCGATCTCCATATTTGAGTACAAAATTACAATATTACGTGTAACCAACAAATAATTTTTTTGAAAAAATCTCTATTACATTAAAAACTAAAGACCCAATAGAGCTATTTTTTTAAAAGGTGGGACAGAAAATGACTTTTGTACTTTTAAAATTTGCACAAAATTTAGGAGGTCTTTAGACCGAGACAACTATATAGAGAGCGCCATTTTTATAAAAATTTGCATGTGATTAGTCCAAAGGGAGTTCGTTATAAACAGAGAATTAATTAAGTTCGTTCGTTATACAGAACAAATTTAATTAATAAAAAATCGGGACCAAAATCTTGGTTCGTTACAGAGAACAGTTCGACTCTCGGAGGTTCGGTATATATAGAGAACTTAGCCTATATGTATAAAATTCTAGCTAAAAACCAACCAAGGCTCAAAGTTTTCGGGTCCGGGTTGTTGGGACCGAACCGAAAAACCAGAACCCGACCCGAAACCTGAAAACTTTTGGACTGTGCTAATTATACTTGAGGTCAAAATTATTAAATTGCAATTAAAAATCCCAAAAATTTGCATTGCATCACCTATCATAATTTTATACAACTGACACAAGATGCAATTCATGACGCAAGTCACAATTCATGGTGCAACATGATTCATTAGCTAACAAAACCTTTTTAGCTATGAAGCATTGATGTTACATTAAAAATTAAAAAATTAAAAAGCTTTCATGCAATAAATAAAGAGTTTTATCTGTGGTTAAAGTTTGAATTAATTCATACACACATCATGATTGTGTTTGTGTAGTGATGGTGGCTAAAATTATTTTAGTAAATCTGAAATAGTTTACTTATAGAAATTAGGAATTTAGGCTCCTAAACTAGTGACGAAACTTGAAAATTACCTAAACTATGGGCAAACTCTAAACTGTGGTTAAATTGTCAAATCTATGACCAAAGTTTTATGATAAATAAAACGGATTTATCGAAGTGCCGTCCAATCGTATGCCGGACATGTGATCTATATAGTCTTTGTATTTTTTATTAATATTTTATATTTGCATTTTTATTTTTATTTATTTAAAAAGATTATGATTATCATAAAAATAATGTCATTTTTTGACTAATTCGTTTTGTAATAATAAAACAAATCAATTCTTTTTTTTTGATCAATAAACACTTTTGCGGTCGGAAATTAAACAGTAGAGTTTAATTGACCGCTTGGTTTTCACCCGCAGTTTAGGTTTCGCCAACTTCGCCACAAATTAGGCCTAAAATATGGGTTAGTTACGGCCATCATCCACCAGCCTTGTGTCTTTAATTATGTTTTGCGTCATGAATTGTCATGAGTTACGTCTAGCGTCACGAATTGTCATGAGTCACAAATTGCCTTGAGTTACGTCTTGCTCTTGCATCGTGAATTGTGTTTTGCGTCGCGCATAACACCAATTGCAGCTTTTAAACCACTGTAACTGTTTCGCTTTTTTATTTAATTAATAAAATTTAGGCAAATAAAACTTATTATCTAAATTTATGTAAATCACAAAATTTTCTTATTAACCCGAAATCAACCCGAACCCGACCCGTTAGGAGCTTTACAACCAATAGAAATCATACTGAATACAAAAATGCAAAGTCAATATCACTATGTTTATATTGGAAGGTAATGCTCATTTTTCATTTGTCAAGATTCATTCATTCCAACTATTGAATTAAATGATTATGCATGAAAAGCAAAAAAACAGACTTTTTCTATTATTTTATTGATTATTTGTCATCGTCACGTTCAATGGATTTAAATTTTATTGGTTCACCACCATAACTAATATAATTTTTTTAAAAAAATCATAATTATAAATATGATGAAATATAATATAATGTTTATATTTTCTATTCTTACCTATAATCAAAAAACAACTCTTGTCCAGGTTCAAGATCTTGTATTGCGTAAATTCCTATCCTGTGTTCACCATTAACCTTGGCAACTATTATAATTATTATTAATATTTTAAAAAAATCAATGATAAATAATAATAATGATTTTCTAGATAACATACTACGACATGCCGTATTAGGAGAAGATGAATGATTTATAAATCTAAATTTATTGCCCTTACGGGTAGCATCTATTACTGATTCTATTGTAATTAATATACATGTACTATTGTTTCAGTTTTAATTTGTATGCGTGTATATATAATATGTAAAATAATCATAAGATTGTAATTAATTCTCTTAACCTTTATTTAAATTAAATAGAAAACTAACTCCTCTCTTATCATAGATTCTTCCACGTCTCTCAGCTTCTTTCTGTGAAATCAACTTGGAAAATTTTTAATAAAAATTGATTCATCATTAATTAATTGTTTGGTTGTTTGTTGGTAAAATTAAAACATGTGATGATAAATTATTTACCTCCCCAACATATTCCCCTAAATAATCATTTTTGTTGACATACTCCATAACATAAAGTCCCCAACCTGAAACATTTGATATACCTACCAAAGTATGCTATTAAAACAAGGATATTTAAATATGTAAAATTTATTATTAATTTATTAATTATTATTATACATTATTATACATATAAATAAAATTACCTTAAAGCATCCTTTCAAAATAGGCATGTTTTTACAATTTTCAGGTGGTTCATGACTACATTCTTTAATAAATTAAAATCAAATTCATTAATTTTATATAGTTCAAAAATAAATTATATATATATTATATGGAAAATATTATATTGTTACTTGATGCAGGACATCTACAACGATCTGGATCACACTCTCTTCCACTATTAAAACAATGACAATTAGTATCCAAACAAATTCCACCACCAGTACTATGACAATCACATCCAGAAAATCTTCTAATACCTTTTAAAAATCATTAGAAGTGATGATGATGATAATGATGATTTTATAAATTACTTATTTTCTCCCTCGCTCTCAAAATATATATATAATAAATTAAATTAATCAATAAATCAAAATAAACAATCTTACAATCTGGATCACAGAAACAGTATTTTTCACATGAAACATTTGCTTTAAAACAGGGACATGATTTATCACAAGGTTCACCAGGATGATTACAGGTAGTATATTCATTCTGTTTTTGAGCATTATTATCTTAAAATAATTTGGAAAATTTTTATATAGTTAAAACTAATAAACTATAAAATTCAATAGAATCAATTTTTAGTAAAATACCTATTTTTACTGCTGCTGCTTTTTTAGCTTTTTTCTTTGTATCTTCTTTTGTTTTTTCCACTGAATCTTTATTTTTAATAAAAGGATCAACATGACATGATCTCAAATATATCTATATAATTCAATATGCGTAAATGAATTACAATTGAAAATTTGTTTTTTTAATCATAAATATTATTGTTGTTATCACCTGTTGGCAGCTTTTAGATTTGATTGTTTTTGCTATAAAGCAATGGTTATCACTGCCAAACAATTCACGAGCTTTATTGTACAAAATAATATCTTGAGCACTCCACTCGGATGAATCAAATGCCAATTCTTTTCCTTTTCCTTCATTAGATGTTGACAATATATTATGATAACAATTTGGTCCACAAGGATCTTTACTTACAGGCACAGGAATGCTTTTTTTCTTTCCAGCTGAAAAATTTCCACCTTGAAACCCCAATATTTTTTAAAAAAATTAAAAAAAAAATTTCAAATTGGTAATGAATTTAAAAAAAACCAATAATATAAAATAATTACCATGATTTTTGCAATTGTATTTATAACAACGACGACAAAATAATTTTGTATATGTATCAAACACTTCATTGCCAATCGTCTCAGATGATAGACTATTATTATTATATAAATTTATACATATATATACACACATATATATTAACAGAAAACCACCTCTATTAAAATCAATATATGTGCATGTGTGTTACCTATCAATCTCCATAATATCTTTTTGATCATTGTTCAAATTTTTTCTATATTCTATGTATCTTTATATTTGTATGATATTGAAGTTAGTAATATAAATCTGAAAAAAAGGAGGACAAAATAAATATTAATTGATATTGGCTACTTGTTTAATAGCGATTGAGCATCTTCTTTTTCATGAAGCTTAGAGAAATCTTTAAAAAATTTTTCTATGAGTTTATTTTCTTTGTTGTCACTAGGACTGGCACTAGCACTGGAATTAGGATTGGTGTTACTTTTTGTATAATTTTCAATCATGTTGAGCGTAATGTTATTTTTGTTGAAGTAGTAATCCATAGTCAACATAGCAATCTTTGCCTCTACAAAATAAATAAAGCCTTTTAACCAATTGATCATTTGGACATAAAAGAATTGTAAATGATTATTTAATAGGATAGAATAACAGATTAAAAAATAAAGCCTTTTAACTAGGGTTTCTATTCAAATAAAACAAATAAAACGTATCAAAAATAAAGCCTTTTAATCAATTGACCATTAGGACATATAAGAATTGTAAATGATTATGGACAATTTTGATTAACCCATAATGACTCTTGCAATTTCACCATTTTTGTAGTTTTGTCATTTTTCTAACTATTATAAAAAGGATAATTATTCCCTTGCCATTGAAGCAATATCTTTGATATAATAAAACAACCTTACAGTTATATATTCCTCAAAATTAATAAACTTTTATTCTTTCAAATTAATAATTCATTGATATAATAAATCTTAATCTTTTGAAATTAATAATTCTTTAATAACAAATCTTAAAAATTAATAATTATAATAAAGAAAATGGATCAACAAACTTTTGATAACCAAGACCTCTACCAAGAAAATTTTGATAACCAAGACCTCTATCAAGAAAATTTTAATAATATGAACTTTGATTCTAGTCAAGTTTTTGGTGATGCACAATCGGAAACAACAGATGCTAATGTTTCTACTACCTCATCAACATTGGCATCAAGTCTTGTATGGGAACATTTTGATAAGAATCCATCTTACGCACTATCAACAAACTTTTGATAACCAAGACCTCTACCAAGAAAATTTTGATAACCAAGACCTCTATCAAGAAAATTTTAATAATATGAACTTTGATTCTAGTCAAGTTTTTGGTGATGCACAATCGGAAACAACAGATGCTAATGTTTCTACTACCTCATCAACATTGACATCAAGTCTTGTATGGGAACATTTTGATAAGAATCCATCTTACGCACTAGGATATAATGTTTGTAAAAAATGTACAATTAAGTACAAGTTAACAACAGGTATTTCAACACTTCGTAAACATCTCAAAGACCATCACCAAATGCAGGTACCTGCTAGGAGACAAAGAACAATTACCGGAATTGAACCTTTTTATGAACAAGAACAAATAGAACATACTAAATACCTTATTCAATGGTTAATCTGTGATCTCCAGCCCTTTACCACTGTTGACAACCCTTACTTTAGAAAATTTGTTAGCCACTTCTGTCCTCGCTATACTATTCCTGAGCGACACCAAGTAAAAAATTTTATAATTGATGCATTTAATAATCGAAGAACAAAAATTGCTAATGAACTTCATCAAATCGAGGGACAATATTCATTGACAGTTGATATGTGGACTTCTATGAATCGTGAAGCCTTTTTAGGAATAACCATACATTATATAAATTCAAACTGGAAACTCTGCAATTTTCTACTTGATATCATCTCTTTTACCACTAGACACACTGGAGAAAATATTACAAGGGAGATTATACGCATATTAGATGAATTCAATATTTCTAGTAAAATAATTGCACTAACCACAGATAATGAATCTGCAATGGTTGTATGTGGAAGAAAACTTGCTGAATCCCTTGATAGTCAATTTTCTTCAATGACTTTTGCACATTATTGTTGTGCAGCACATGTTTTAAACTTAGGTGTTAAGCAAGGATTAGAACTAGTTAGTGATTCAATTAATAAAGTACGTGAATTAATGAATAAAATTAAAATTTCAACTCTCCTCTGTGATCAACTTCGTGGCTTTTGTACTTTAAAACATATCCATGATTATAAACCAGTTTTGGATGTGGAGACCTGCTGGAACTCAACTTACTATATGTTAAAACGTTTGGAACAACTTGAACCAGCATTGGTTTTACTTGCTGCTGATAATAACAACATCAAGAATCTTTGTCCTAATAGAAATGATTGGATTATAATTAAGGTAAATTGATATTAGTAATTTTACCACAAAATGAATTATAAATAAATTTGTGTTACAACGGATTTTAAGCTTCACATATGAAAACATTGAAACTAATACCCAATATTCTCATCATACCCTATAGGATACTCTCTCACTTCTTGAAATCTTTGAACAAGCCACAAACTACCTTTCAGCATCATCGTATCCAACTATGGGTGATGTTCATCTTATCTTTAAAAGCATCCAGGTGTATCTGCAAAAAGAAATAGGAAAAGAAGGCTTCACACAGAGTGAAATGGCGGCATCAATATTTCAAAAAATTGAAGAGCATTGGCAAATTATGAATAGTTCTTCAATTGCTTCAGCAGTTTTAGACCCTCGAACCAAACTCTCAGTCTTTTCAGGAGGAAATAGACAAAATGCTTGTGAACATATTCAAGCAATTTTTGAAACTTACCAGAATTCTTCCAATACACAATCTCCTGCAAGAAGGTTATCATCATCTACATCTACCACAAATGCAACTCGTAGACTTTTCACACAACTTCTTCGTAACCCAACACCACAAATTGCTTCAGCACCTTTAATATCAGAATTAAATCGTTATCTTGCATTACCAATAGATGAAGAAACAGAGCCTCTATTATGGTGGCAGGCACATGCCAAAGAATACCCAATTGTAAGTAATATGGCGCAAGATTATCTTACCATTCAAGCAACTAGTGTTGCATCAGAACAGGCATTCTCAGTTGCTGGAAATACAATTAGTAAAACTCGAAATCGTTTGTTGCCAGAAACTGCAAGAGCATGTTTATGTATGAAAAGCTGGATTATTAATAAAATAGGAGATTATTAAAATACAAATTTTTTATACTTATATAGGATAGATATATAATATTATTCTTATCATTTATATTTAAATTTTAATAAACTATTTGTGTCACATGTTGATCATGTGTAACCGGTTTGAACGGTTTGAATGGTTCCAAAAACCAAACCAAAAAAAAACCAGGGGTTGGTTTCAAACCGAGTTCAAACCGTTTATTAGCGAAACCGACCCATCCCTATACATAGAGGTTCATACATTACATGTTTTCTGTATTAACGTTGTAAAATATTAATATTAATATATTTTTGTGTTACATATTTGTGGCTGAAAAAAAAAAGTTCTTTAAAAAAAATTTTTTTGACAAATTATACAAAAACCATGATGGAAAACATTTTGAATGAAAATAAACATCATGACAATACTTCTACCGACAAAAATGATGAATATTCTGATAAAAGAAAAGAAAGAAATGGGGAATGTCCAGCATGAAATAGATATAATACTCATTGGGAATGGTGTCAATCATGTGATCCAAAGTTGTTAACTGAAGGATGGACTAGTGGTAATGAAACATTAGATGAATTAATTAAAAGCACACAACTTAAAGCAACAGGATATGATAATGATAATTATCTTCAATGGATTCCTTATGATGATTTAACAAATATTGAAAAGATAGGTGAAGGTGGGTTTGCAATTATATCCAAAGCTACTTGGTTAAATGGTTATAAATATACGGATAGTAGAGATGAAAGAACTAGCAAAGATAGGACTGTGGCATTAAAAAAACTACATAATTCACAGAATATTTCTGATGAATTTCTTAATGAGGTAAATTATTTTATTTTTCTATTTATTTTCAGATTTTTAAATGTTGTTCTGAAATTCAAATATATTTTCTTTATATAGTTTAGAAATTATGTTACATTTCATGGTAAATCATTTATAAATAAAATTTATGGATTAACACAAGATCCAGCTACAAAAGAATATATCTTTGTGATGGAATACATGAGAGATGGAAGTATTCAAGATTATGATGATCAATATTCAAAGAAAAGAAAAAAAAAGTATGGGAAATGTCTAGCATGCAATAGATATAATACTAATTATTCATGGTGTCAGTCATGTGATCCAACTGAAGGATGGACTAGTGGTAATGAAACATTAGATGATTTGATTAAAAGTACACAACTTAAAGCAACTCGGTATAATAATAAATATTACCTTCAATGGATTCCTTATAATGATTTAACAAATATTGAAAAGATAGGTGAAGGTGGGTTTGCAACTATATACAAAGCTACTTGGTTAAATGGTTATAAATGTATAAATTATGGAAAAAGAACTAGCAAGGATATATTCGTGGCATTAAAAAAACTACATAATTCACAGAATATTTCTGATGAATTTCTTAGTGAGGTAAATTATTTATTTTTCTATTTATTTTCTATTTATTTTCTATTTATTTTCAGATTTTTTAGATATTATTGTTGTAATTAAATATTTTATTTATTATTTAGTTCAAAAATTATATGAAGTTTCATGATAAAAGTGATATAATTCATATTTATGGATTAACACAAGATCCAATTACAAAAGAATATATATTTGTAATGAAATATATGGAGGATGGAAGTCTTCAAAATTATTTAACTAAAGATTTTAAAAATTTAAAATGGAAGCAGAAAATTGATATTCTTAAACAAATTATTAAAGGTTTAAAAGACATTCATGAAAAAGAAATTATTCATCGTGATTTTCATAGTGGTAATATTCTTCAAAGGGAAAAACAGTATTCATATATTGCAGACTTAGGATTATCATGCCCAGCTAGTCAAACATCATCATCAGACAAAAATGATATATGTGGAGTATTACCATATATTGCGCCAGAAGTTTTAAAAGAGAAACCATATACAAAAGCATCAGACATATACAGTTTTGGAGTTCTGATGTCTGTAGTATCAACTGGTCAACAGCCTTTTAATAATTTGGCACATGATGAATATCTTGCAATGAAATTATGTAAAGGTACAAGACCTGGATTCTCAAACAATACACCAAGATTTTATATTGAACTGGCATTCAAATGTATGGATGCTAATCCAGATAAACGTCCAACTGCTGAAGAAATTAAAAAGATTATTATTTTTTGGAATAATTCATTTAGTAATATTAAAATAAATAATAGTGCTGAATTTTATGAATATTCGAAAGAACAGCATGATGAATTAAATTTAATTAGAGAAGAATTTAAGAAAATGGATAAAATAAAATTTGATCCTTCAACAATTACTGCAACAATTCATCCAAATGCAGTTTATACTAGCAGATTATTAAATTTT